GGGAACCCCGACGGTGGAAGCTCACAGCTTACGAGGAAGCCGGCGAGCTTAGGGAGGGCGAGCTTAGGGAGGAGCTCGCGAAGCCAAGGATTTCAGACTTTCGCGAAACCGCTCTCTCAAGGGATTCAATCAACGGCAATGATGTATTCACAGGCAGTGTGTGTGGTCTCGTCAGTGCAGACAGACACGGACGGACGGCACAAGTATGTCAATCAGAGACGACCATAAACACAGGTACTAACACAGGTACACACATACGCAGAAACGCCTCCCTGTGTGTGGAACACCGGGAGGTACACGTGAGGCAGCTGCTGGCTGTACATCCATCCATCTACACTGTCGTCACACCGACCCATAGATGAGCCCCTCTACGCGTCTCGGCTCTGGCTGAGGAGCCTGACACACACACACACGCACACACACAGGGGTGCGCATGATGCCCGCATCTCGTCCTCGTCATGTCAGTCTGCGCCACGTACGTGTGATGAGGTGACGACCTGGTAGGATGTGCCCGTCATCTCGTCCTCGTCTGCACGACAGATGTACACAAAGCCATCAGGACAGACAGACACGCGTCATGGCATTGGCATGGTGGGCGCCGGTCGGCCGACCAGGGTCTGGGAAGCTGAAGTTGCTCATTGAGGCGCCCCTGTCTGCAACAATGAGGACAGCGGACATCTACACATCCAATCTTGAATGTACGTGTGTGCGTACCGTTTCTCTTGTGCGTGTGGCGCGAGAGGGACGGAAGGCCTTACCCCCCACACACCCACATACACACACACACACACACACATGCATCCGTGCGGTTACACTGGTGTTGCTGGGTGAGAGGGTACCTGTGTTGCCCTCTCCTACAGGCCGATATCTGTTGTTGGCATTGTACACCCAATCAGCCTGTCGATGGATAAATGGATGGAGGCACACACACCCATGTGTGTGGACGTGTATGTGTATGTGTACGTGTGTGTGTGTGTGCGTACAATCTGGACGAAGAACATCCTGACTTGGCCGACCACCGGCAAATACGGCGGGCCGCCTGACACAAGCGGGCAGATATAATACGTGCAGTTGTGGCCCTCCCTTTGGGGTATGCGAACCTCCTTTGGTGAAGTTCTGGTACAAAAGATACATGTATATCACAAAGAACTGCACACACACACGCGTCAACACAGGCCTGCCTGCCTGCTATCCATCTCTGTGTGTGTGTCTGTCTGTGTGGATGGCTGAATGGCTCATCCCCACCGACCAGGATGGCTGTCCAGAAGATGGATTTGTATGCGATCCGGATAAACAGCCACAAGGGATGGGACAACAGATGCAGCAAATTAGACCTGCATATATCAATGTGTGCACACATACGCCCCAACAACACGTCTGTGGCGGTGTCAGTGAGCGTACACCGAGATGAGGGTGAGCGGCGACCCGGTGCAGTGTTTGCGGACGAGGAACTGGACGTCCTTGTAGAAGGGAATGTCGAGCGACACAAGCACCACCGACCAGCCCACACCGTGGCAGTTGTAGATCAGCTCGACCTTGCGCGGCTTCTCGTCCGTCGGGAACCAAGCCTTGTGCGGCTCTGATACAAACACACAGTGACACGTGTGGATGGAAGGATGGATTGGTGACGGCTTGCCTGTTGCGGTGAGTGGCCAGTCGTCGCTGGGCAGCTCAAGGGACGGCCACACGACCTGCATGTCGGCAGCTGAGTGCAACCATGTGGACAAAAAAGACAAAAGACAGAATGACATAAAGTGCCTCCGGCACCTTTCTCTCTCTCCCCCTGTGCGTGCGTGTGCACCTATGCTAGGCCGCTGGAAGTAAACAGGAGGGGAGCAGTCCTTGCTGATACGCACACACACAGACACACACACACACACACACAGAGAGAGAGAGAGAGAGAGGTGAGTCGAGTTGTGATGGGTACGTATCGGTGCATACGCCCACCACCACACATAGAAGACCGTCGCCGCATGCCCCTTGTCAACGTGGTTCAACGCAGTGCTCTGACCCACCTGCACACGCCCGTCAGCCACAAACAGGCACACGTGCCATGGATGTATGGGTGCCTCCGGATGAGCGCGTGTGTGTATTTGCTTACATCGCCCCATCCGCCGATGGCCCTGCCATTGTACACCACATCGGCCTCGTGCGGCTTGGTGCCCACCATCAGACCTGCACGCAACACCAACACACACACATATATAATAATACCCAACACACGACGCAGTGTGTATGGCTGTCTGTGTGTCAGGGGTGTCCGGACCCTGTTTGGGGACGATCTCTGCCGGCAGTGTGGTGCAGTCCACTCGCCAGCCGATGTGCACAGATGGGCAGCCGTGCGGGTGCAGCGTCACATTGATCTGTACGTGTGTGGATGCGTGTGGACACACACGTACACGATATGTATGTATACGAGCGCGCGTGTGTGTGTGTGTGTGTGTGCTGACCGGGAAGACGGCTTGTTGGGCGCAGTTGAGGTACTGTATCTGCAGCTCGAGGATGTTCCTCCCCTGTGGGTCTACGTGTTTCCTCAGGTACTGCAGACCGTCAGCTGACCACATGCACACACACACGCCAGGACACACACATGCACATGCTCCCTTGATTCCTCTTTGTGTGCAGAAATGGTGTGTGTGTACAATCTCTGAGGGTGAAATGAATCTCCAGGCCGGACGGGGTGCTCACTGCTGGATGGTCCAGCTTTCCTGACACACACACACACACACACACAAATGGACGCAACACGCACCGACACACATACCATGTGAGGCTATCTTGAATATCGACATGGGCGTGGTGTGGGGGTTAATCAGCGGATTCCTGCAACACCACACAGACACGTACACCCGCATCATGATGCCCGGCATCTCATCTCATCGCAACTCATCTCATCATCTCATCATCTCATCTCTCCGGGTACCTTTCGTCCATATTGAGAAGTGCCTTCTCTTCCCTGACCACTCCTATGCGCTGTGGTGGGCTGCCCAACGCACTGCCGACTGTCGGATGGCCTGACATACACAACACACACGTGCACCCACCAAACAGCATAGAACACACTGTCTGTCGGTGTGTGTGTGTGTGTTACATACCAGAGATGGCCGCGTTGGTGGGAATGGGTATCCACTCGGGCATCACCACAGAGTTCTGAACCACACTGACCACCGGCACACACACACACACACACACACACAGATGGACCGATAAGGTGCACATAGGCACTGCATATGTGAGTGGGCGTGCACGGCTGCATACGTGGCCTTGTCGTGTGTCTTGTCGTTGCTGAGCTGCTCCACCATCTGCGCCGACTCGGGAGATACATACACCACAGACAGAGCTGCCAAGCCAGGCCATGGACACACGCACCAAGACACACACACACACACACATCAACGCCATGATTTTTTATGTCATGGGCGCTTCTCGCGTGTGTGTGCTTACATCTGCAGACTTCATCCATAGATACGGGCCCATCAGACAGACACCGGCAGGGAAACAGCTGCACACAAACACACGACGCCCAGATGGATGGATGGATGCCGATGGTGCACATGGATCCACTGGATCTCGTACGTGTGCCGCGACAAGAAAGAGCCACCGGACAGCGCCGCGCTCATACAGCGTCCGTCGTTTCATTCCTCTGATGAATCACACAGTCCATTCATCAACGCATGTGACATTCAGTCTGCATTTGATGACTATCCGTGTGTGTGTTTCGCTCACCTGGCCACGGCTCGTGTACTTTTCATGTTCTGCAAGCTTATTAGCTCGCGATCCAACGAGGCAGATCTTCTCCTACGGCCTTCTTTTTGTCAGAAGTGCAAGTCGGTCCAGGGTTTAGGGTCTAGGGTTCATAGACCGACGATCCACTGATCTGTGAGACAGGACGGCTGTTGAGTCTTTGTCCGTTCCATGAGACAGGCCATGGCGGACAGGACGTCAGACAGAATGGACTGACGCGTACTACATGTCCTACGTGGACTCTCCACAAAATCCACAGACCTTACGTTGCATTGACTTAATCCTTTATCCGAGACTGACCGCCCGGCAGATCCTCTCTTCACCATTCTCCCCGACTCTCTCCCACCTATTCTTACATCTCGAAAATCCGAGCTGCCTATGTTGTGGGGAATTGAATGGCGTCTCCTGTCCACCCAAAACCTGGCCGATTGGCCTTCTCGTTCTTGCGCTAGAAGCGATTTTCGACATCGAAGTCGAGCGGATGTATACAGATGTACATACATATGGGAGAAATCCTTCTTTTTTCTCGGTGTGGGCGTCTTTCCTGCCCCCATTTACGATGGCATGGCGGTCCATGCATTTACGTGGAAGGCGGCAAAGTGCGCAGCAAATCAGAGGGTAAGAGAGAAAGCAATGGCAAAGCACACCATCCATTCACTCGTCCGTGTTTCTGCCTCTCACTCAGGCGCTAAGAGGCAGCAACACGGACGAGCAGAAAGGTCAGTACTGATTGACAGCTCTTTCACTATCACTTCTGTCATTCACTGCACACTATCACTTCTGTCATTCACTGCAACTTGATCAGGACCGTCACTCGGAGCGTGCGGTGGACGACCATGACGACGAGTTGTCTGAAGCAGAGCACACATCGTCGTGTCGGTGCTGTGTTTGGTTCTTATACTGATGATCATTGTCGACGCCGACGTGCCCAACTAGCACGCCCAGCATGATGATGATATGGAGGAGGGCGGCGGCCGCCAGCAGGCACGGCGAGGGAGGGGCAGCCTTTCGCCACTGAATGTCAACCCACTGGCTGTTGATGAGGACGAGCCGCCCATCGAGGAGGAGGAAGCACCCGGCGAGATGGATGAACGGATGAATGAATGACTGAATATGAATGAATAAAAATGAATGATATGTTTACTTCTCCCTTTCCTTCACTCAGAGGTTGCTCCGCCTGACGCCAACAAGCTGCCCAAGTGTCCTCCAGGCGAGCCGCATCGCACCCGCATCCATCTGACGAGGAGCAGGTACCCACAGGCATCTGACGAGGACATACCCATGGAAGCGGCACTTTGCTGCGTGTGTCGATGTCCTTCACTTACTTCAGGCTGCGTGTGATTGTGTCTCGT